TCAACAATTGTCCACATCTACAGTTGAGAACGACTACGATAGGAAAGATGAGAGGAGTTGTCTTAAAAATAAAAATTGAACATAATAGTATTGATCATTATTCATTTAATTGCTTGAAATTTAATTGATTCGCAATGATAAAACTTCCCAAGAGTCCAAATTGCATAGACTTTTTTAATTAAGTGGGAAGAAAAGGATGGGTTGTAAATCATCACCTTTCCCATTTTAGACATTTGGGGTTTAAATCAAATTTCACCTTTTAGACGTTGAGCTTCTAGCTGTTTTTGTGCAAAATTTGGAAATACAACAAAACAAAAATGTATTGTTGTAGTTGATGTTTGATTAAACAATGTTTTATGTCTGTTGACAAGGGCGGCACATGTTTCTCCAATGTCTCTTAGTTTTGGCCTTAGGGGTCTCCATAATGTATTCATTACTTTATATATTTTTAATTCACCAAACTTTGAAAGGCCCTTTGTGTATCTTCCGATTCCGATTCCGATTAAAATCATAAACTATTTTTAATTTTATCTTGCTTTGTTTGTGGCTTCCGCAGTAAACATTAAATCCCATAAAACACACACTCAGAGAACCGCATGTTCTTCATTATCAAAATTATGATAAAACGTACAAAGTATCAACATATTCAGGACTTGGTTCAGGCGCACAAAACATGCGACGGGGTTTTAGTAGTCTAATTGGATTCAAAACCTCCCATATGTATGCATGGTACGGGCAAAGATAAAATTTAAAAAGAATCATAAGTACGAAAAAATAGAAAAGATTACAAAACCAAAGCCATGTCCAGGAAAAGGGAAATAGAGAAACTAATTCTTACCCTGTGGCAACACAACAAAATATAACAATGACATATACAATAAAACGATATTTGTTCAACATGACCATATAATTAAATGTGGGATAACCTAAGTTGTTCATGTTGTTGGACTCCAAACCCCTGCGTGACACTGTCCATATATGACTTTGCAATGACATCAAGCTCTATAGTAAATAAAGGCAACAGTAGTATACCGCTGTTCTATAGTAATTAACAAGTTGAAATATAATTTCATTGGAACGAGAAGTCAATTACAAAAACCCCTTCCTCCTTTTAACTGTAAAGTGTAGGTGTCGTCAGTTGGTGTTGAGAGTTGATGAAAAGGTTTATTAGTAGGTTTTCAGTTTTGAATGGACTTCACACTAATTTGTACATTGATTAATACCATTCAGGATTTTAAAAAATATTTATACTTCATAAAAATTGCTTACCAACCTTTTTTTATGTAGAGCAAGGTCACATTCATTGTACTCCTTAACATGATAAATTGCACTGCGCAATAAAGGTGATCCGTCTTCTGAAAAGAAAAACCTCTTTCGATAGATTTGATGTAATTTGATGACAAATATTATGTCTTTTGAAGAACTTGTGTAAATGTATTAGCGAATTCAATTCATATCTGATTAAGCAAGAAAACACTTCCCGCTTTTCTATGAATAAAAGTAATTAGAAAACGTGCACTTGTAAGGAAATATTAAATTTAAGTTTAAAGACACTTCCTTCCTATTGTTCATTTCAAACTTACAGATAAACATGATTAAGGTAGCAAAATAAAAAGTACTTTGAAACGGATTGAGAAAAACATCCTGATTAAGGTTAAACTATTGTTAAAAAATATCCCATGCATTTTACATGTTTTAGGCATGCAAACTAATACTTTTGTTAGGTTTTTTAAAAACAAATTCAAAAAAAATGTTACAGTGCATACACTGAAATTCCTGAATCGAAAATATGAGCTCAACTCTATTTTCTAATATGCTGCGCATGTTTGTATTTCGATCTATATCATTTCAAATATATACATATATATATGTTAGACTCAGATCGATGTCCGTTCTGTAATCGACGTCGGTTCCTCAATTTAACGTCCCTTGACGAAACAGTCTCAAAACAAGGAACTTATATGTTTACCAACGCATCGATGACCAATATGACTTTATAGTTGACTTATGAAAAGAAACAACAATGGTAACAACGCTCGATATCAAAGAATCAACTTACGTTATACCCTCGGAAACAAAAAGAACACTTTAGCTGTATGTATTAACCAAGTTGTACAATGTATAATTCATCCAATATACGCATACAATTTGTAATTTAGATAGTAATAGAAAACTGTTGGTATATCTCGTATTTCAATATGTATTACTTATATAATAAGAGGTGACATACATTTGTGTTCTTGTGTATCTCATATGATTTCGGAAGATTTAGTGCTTTGAATTGTCTTTTACCTGCTTTATATTGTCGTTGTTCTGTCTGTCTACTATAAGAACCAAACAGTCATTTTGATATATAGTTACATAATATACTAAAATGAATTAGTTTGTTTATGATGAAATGTAAAATACTTATATGAAATCGAAAAATTAACATTTATTCTCGTCTCAAATCTAGCAGCTTATATTCAGTACTCCGAATTACAAATAAGAAAACTTTGCATGACTAATTGACGTGTGCACGACACCTATCCACGGTGAACTGATTGAACTGAATAGTGTTATCTTCCTTGATCAATTGTAGCGGTCGTTTCGTTACTATATTATGGAGCTTTTGAAATTTCAAAATTCATTGAATAAAATAATGTTGAAAGATAGAAGTTAGAAAGGTATGTTTGATTTTGTACCTTTAAATCAAAAAAATTATGTACGAACTTAAATATTTTAAATTGAATATTATTGAATTTATATGTTGCTAGAAAAAGAGAACACAAAAAGGACATGAAATCTGTCAGATAACTGATGATTTGAAGACAAAAGACAAGTAAATCTTTAAGAAATACAAGTACAAATGTTGATAAGTAGTACTATAGTCATTACGGGTACAACATTGATTACAAATAATTTCAAAACTAAACTGTTAGTCCTTAGCATGGTACCATATAGTGAAATTAACGAACTTAAATTAACTTAGTTTTTCAAGCACTGTCTGTAATATATTTATTCGTTATATTTGATTGATTGATTGTTGGTTGCTTAACGTCTAGTGGCAAATATTTAATGCATATTCTGGACGATTCTTTATATTAATTCATGATTTTCTCTTTATCACTGTTGTTCATATACAGAGTATTGTTGTTTACGTATAATGTATATATTTCGCAGAAAAGTAAACCGAGGGGGTTCTCTTTGAACCATAAGTAAACCTATTTAATCTGAAATGGTCCTTTTTATGTGAACATTTCTAAAAAATCTTAACAACAAATTATTTGGTTATTTTCATCAGATTTTAATAATTTTGTCAGACTTATTCAATGCAACCAAGTCAGCACTGTTCAAACATTCATGTGCATTCAATGCAGATCTGTTCAATAAATTTTATGTACACATCAATATCACACTGATTGTCTGAAAAAACTATTGAACAGTAATTAGTTGACTGTAAGACAGTTGTCTGAACAAAATGAAATTTAACTCAGTCGATTATTTTAAAATTGACAGGTTTAACAAAACTGAATAAATCATTGTGAAATCTTTTCAGATGATGTAAAATTAAAATGAATATTTACGACTAAAATGAATTAACTTGTGAACTTTTTGAACTTTACTTGTAGAAAGTTTTCACTTAATTTGTCTTTGAACGGAACAATAAATTCATCAAATAATGTGTTACTGGTTTTTAATTGTTTCGTTCATCAGAAGGATTTATTGCTTACGTATTCGAGATACTAGTCTTTCAGAGAACAAACAAGACAGTTGTTATGTTACTGATTAACGTGCAATCATTATGCGTGCAGTATGTTGACGCCCTAACACAAGATTTAAAAGTAAATGACGACACTAAGTCCTAGTGTGCCCTTGTTATTTATTCCAATTACTAGGTTTTATAGGTACTTACTAATTTCAGTGCGATTGTATACCATGTTTTAACACACTCGATTCATTTATATAATTCATTTTTTTTGTGTTTTGAAGATCAGTTGTAGGTCGAAATTGGATCTGAAAAAAATCTTTGAAAAGCTGGAAAAGAATAATTTTTGTTAGTAGTTGGAAATATCTTTGAACAAGCTTTCGATACTGCAAATACTCTTAAATCTATATTTTGTGTCTGTTGTGTCTTGTTATTCGCTTTTTTTGTGTGTGTGTTTCGTACCGATCTGATGTTCTAATGTTGTGTTATTTACACATCAGTCCCAGAACGTACATTTGCAAACATTATTAACACCATAGAAAAATGTAACTGTCCACATGCAGAAGACTGTATTTCATTGGTTATCGCCAGTCATATCCTTTATTATATAAATAAATTTAAATACGATCCGGAGAAATCTATTAATCGTGTAAATAAATTTATTTTTACAGATTAATCACACAACGCAAAACACTTTTATTTAATCTTTGAATATTTTTTTAGCGGTATACAAAATAAATTTTAATAAATTTTACACCAACTAAGTTTTATTGTTATACTGATTTTTATTTACGGTTCTACAATACTTCTTTTTGGGTATTGAACAAGATTTCTCTGACTGTACATAACGATTTTTACACAAAATCTATTGGATTTTGGATGTGTGGTGATTGAAATATATGATTATTTTTAGTTGTTATTGGCAATATTGCGCTTTGTGTCAATCTGATGAAATTAGGCCTCTTCCAACTTATATATGTCGTTATATCGTACTATTACATCACTTAACCAGAGTAAAGGAGGGTTTGACCACATGATATTGTATATGTGCCTGTATCAGGCCAGGAACTTGTAATTCAGTGGATTTTGTTTTTGCTGTTTTATCTTGTCACATAAATCAGACCGTTAGTCATCTCATCGGAATTGTTATTTATTTATCCTTTCTGGGCCTTTAATAGAGTACAATGTGGTATGGATTTTGCTTATTTCTAAAAGGTCTAAGCATTTTTTTTATATTCCAATATTTTCCTTCTCTGATTTTCTTCGTTACGACAATTCATCTTTTATTTTAAAAAAATCTATGATATGTGCATGAATTGATCTATGATTTATATTCTTATCTTATATTTTAAAGAACGAAAATCACTGATATATTTTAGAATATAGAGGATGTACTCCAGAATAGCAGCTGGTCTACTAATCCTTGCAGTGTCTACTGATTTGGCATTACCTTGTCCGAACAGCTGTTCATGTATCACACCATATGGGAGTGTTATTGTACTTTGCAATGGCACAGGATTGCCTGATATTCCACAAAACATCCCAAATGACGCATACGCTATGTAAGCTGTTTCTTTTTCTGAGCTTTTCAAATTTTAATATGTTGTTACTGTAGTTTTGTTTTCAATATTTATAGTGTAAGTGTTAACTATACGTTTTATTGAAAACATACATAGTGTTTAATAAACGGATCATGTATCAGATCGAGAAAAAAAGCAACAACTAGTGTTAATAATAATTTGTATCCAGTTTCATATTAGCCAGTTCCTATGTTATGCAACGAAGACTATGAAAAATAGTGTGCTATTTGCATATTTTCGATTTCATGTTTCCATATATAAGCCTCATCACATATTTAAAAAAAAATTACTTCAGCAAAAGTTTTGGCATAGGCAGTTTTGTAATTATCTTAATGGGGTGTATTTCTTTTGATTTTCGTTTATTTTACTGTTATATGAATAAAATGTAGCTTTAAAAATAGTCCTGACCACCACACAGACTGTTCTCTGTGGGGGTCTACTGACATAAATATTTCTCAGCCATAAATTACTCTTATACGTGGTGTAACGGGACGCAACATTTGATATTCATCTCATTATGTACATAGAAAAAAAAACATCGTTTTTCTACAGCATTTACTTGAAATTTTAACCAAATGCTTATAATTATATTATATTACTATAATTTACTATGGAAAACAGGTGAATACGGACGATCGACTTTTGTTTATAATTTAAACAAAATTAATCGTTAACCCATACAGATATTTTTTGTTATTAAGTTTAACAGTTTAGTGAAAGATAACTATTAAAACAAATCCAGAATGGAGACAATTGGTATGATATAGAGGGTTTTCTTGTCGTATAACACATCGAGGGGTGTGTATCGAAAGACTGACGGTAAGACGATCTTTCATTGTGCAATCCTGACACCCAAATGTGTGTTATACAAGAAATACCTTGATGCATTATTACTTAATGAAGTTCTAAGCTCTGTTTTAAAATAACAAGTTTTTAAGAAGTCAGTTATAATAGATAGTATTTCAATATTGAAGCTAAAATAGCAGAAAAAAATTAGGGTATGTGTCCTTGCATTCGAGATAAAATCCATTGAAAATTTAGCTGAAAATGATTCTCTCCAGCATATCACATGTTTAGCACTGATACCTGTTCTTTTAAAAAAAAATATCACAAAATAAACAAGGATTTTATGAGATTTTTAGATATGGCTTCCATATGTCAAAGTATGATTTCCAATTCTGTATTAATAAAAATATATTGTATACTTTTGTTTAAAATAAATCAAACAAGCAAATGTGATACAATTTGAACTGTTTAAGAATTGTTATGAAAAAGTTGGCATTATTTAATTTTTCTCACATATTAAATGTCACTCTATTGTAGCGATATTGTAACTTAAGTTATAATGTTTGTTAGCGATGTTATCTTAAAAATCAGTCTAGTAAATGGAGGAAAAGATTGTTTTTGCTTAATACATATTAACAAAAAAAGATTAAAAAAAAAATTGAGAGTAAAACCATAATTTGCAAAAATACATGATTACTATCAGATAAATTACATGTATTAGAATTTAGTAAACTGTAGTTAACATTTAAACAAAAAAAAACTTTACACAGGTTATTTTTTATGCATTGAAGAACCTTTCATTGAAACTTAGTATCGTACATTTTTTATTCATTACAATTATATCCTATCGTTCTAAAAAGAATAACTCCATGTAGGAAAATAATTATGAATAGTTGTCTCACCGAAAATGTACGTATGATTTTATGTCAAGATTCAGATACAAAGGAAGCACAAAAAATAAAAATGTTTTTGAGAATACATGTATTTATTATTGTCTACGTTTCGTTGAACTAGTATCTTTTTCTTCTCAATACAAATTAAATATACCAGAAATTATTGTCATTGCATTTTTCAAAATGATCCTTAGCTTTAACTTATCTTGAACATTCAAATTGTATCAACCTTGAATTAAGAAATTGAATATCAAGTAACTAATAAGAGCTGATTGCTTACATTCATTGACATAGGTATATACGTTACCTTACGTTGTTTGAAATTCTGGATTTGCAATCATATCTAGAATATTCATTTAAAATTGTTATATGATGAATATTTCAGCTTCTATCTTTGCTTTAAATCTTAGTATGTTGAGATATACGTTTATTACTTAGTATGCGTAATGTTAATGCCAAGTTTTGGATTTTTCAGTATAACATGTACATAGTCTATGTTTATTTATTATTTGATATAAGTTTAAACGATACAAAACATGTCATTTTCTTTAGATTTATGTTATTCAATTATAAAAAATAAAGCATTATAAATTTTGTTTTTATTAAAATAATTGTATTGCATATAGAAAAAGAGGGGTTAAGATACCAGAGGGACAGTCAAACTCATAGATCGAAAATAAACTGTCAACGCCATGGCTTAAAAAAAAAGACAAACAGACAAATGATAGTACACAAGACACAACATAGAAAACTAAAGACTAAGTAACACGACCCAACCAAAAGCAGGAGATGATCTCAGGTGCTCCCAAAGGGTTACGAATTCGAAGTGTATGTGCTCGATCTTGTTGATAACTCGACATTAGATATATGAAACGGAATAATGTATCCTCGTTTTATCTGCTGCATGTTATTTTGTTATGCAATATAAAAGCGGTCCGAATGTAAAAATAAAACATTGTTTTGCTATAAAAGAGAGGCGAAAGATACCAGAAAGACATTCAAACGCGAAAATAAACTGACAATGCCATGTTAAAAACAAAAAAGATAACTAACAGTACACTAGACACAAAATAAAAAGCTTAAGAGGCCCACCAAAAATTGGTGGTGATCTCATGTGCTCCGTAGAGGTAAGAAGATCCTTCTCCACATGTGGAAACCGTGTTGCTCATGACAATAATAATCACTAACATATCATAATAGGGAAGGGGAATAACGAAATTTTACTGTGAAAAATGCTCGTATTTCTTTGCACATTATTTGTCAATTATTAGAATACTGTTTGGCTCTCAAATATGCGTTTTGAAGCCACTTTTCTTTGGAACTGCATGACACATCCCTTTATTGAACGTTTCAATAAATATGTTTAAGGAATTCCTTTTAATATGGTGGAATTTGTTATATAATCTAGTTTTAGTTTGATATAATGCTAACCACTACCACTAGCTCAATGCAACTGCCACATAGTGTAAGTGGTCGTGGATATCTTAACCCCTTGTCAACTCATTACGTAATGACATGATATTACTTTCATAATACAGATGGTATAATTTTGTTGTTGGAGGGGGGGGGGGGTGGGGGGAGGGGGGCGGCAAATACTTTTTTTTTTTTTTTTTTTTTTTTAATTCCACAAGAACTAAAAAGGCAATCAAGAATCAAACTCTATCAATCAATGGAACAAGTAAAAAAACTTAGTTCAGGCATTTTGATCAAAAGAATATGTTTGGTTAAACTTGATTCATAGTCACCAAAGCCTCCCACTTGTATGACAGTTACTAAACCATGAACTTCCTGCATAAGATCAGAAAAAATTCAATACACAAACAGTATTTTCATTTAACACATAGTGATTCTTCTTGTGGATAAGGGAATAGTGAGCAGACTTAAGAAGCATATCTTATCTTTTTAGATATTATTAAAAGTTCACAGTTGTATGTTACAAATAGAGTAGCAACATGGATAGTTAATTTATGAAATCGCTTTCTATTAAACCAACAAGAAACACAATTATAACAGTTCGCCTGTATTTCTTCATCAAATATTCAGGAAAATCACAAAGTTCGACTGTGTACACATCACTTTTCAAGATAACAAGATACAGTCAGAAGCCAACTTCCAGCAAAGAACATACCGTCACAATATAACCTTAGTAACCACGATATATAACGTACTAAAATAGCGTAAACATTCCAATTATAATTAGCAACCAGAAATTTAAAGGAATAATTAAAAGATGATTCTTAACCAATAACCAATACGGAAAGTAAAATATGTACCATCAATGTTTGTAATCTTATAATATGTTGCTTTTATGCATTTCAGACATTTGGATAAAAACCCCATTACCATAATCGAAAATGGAGCTTTTCAAAATATGACATCGTTGTATACACTGTAGGTATCAGTTAATAATATTTTTATGTAACAGTTATTGATCAAGTTGATTGTGCATTTTCCTTTTTTGTGTGATTAGTAAAGAGAATAATAATGCACATAAAAAATTAAAAGAATGATACAGACCGAATTTTCTGATTTTCTAATGTTTCCAACGGCTACAATATACATGATATATACAAAATAAAATCAGTAGTGGTCTAACTTTAAAATAATGTTCATCATACTGAACGTACTATAATAATAAAAATGGTATTATTTTATTTTACAACTCACCGCATTTTTTATCATTTTGTTTTTACATTGTGTCATAGATCAAATGTATTCGTTCAGTGTATGTTTACTTGTTTTGGTTAATATGTCTTTTGATTGAGTTAAGTCATTTCAATTGATATTTCATAGTGTTACACTATTAATTCAGGTTACGGTTAAGGTTGTGGCGTGGTAAAACGTTTAAACCCGCTGCAATTGTTTGCACCTGTCCTAAGTCAGAAATCTGATGTTCAGTAGTTGTCGTTTGTTGATGTAGTTCATAAGATTTTCTCCTTTTTTGTTTATTATATAGATAGAAAAGGGCAACAGTAGTATATCGCTATTCAAAAGTCATCAATCGATTTAGAAAAAAACAAATCCGGATTACAAACTGAAATTAAGTGGAAACACATTAACTATAAGAGGAGGACAACGGTAAAAAAGAGACACTGAAATGCAGCAAAAAAAGCACTTAAGCAACATACATAGAAACGAACTATTTGATAACAACTGCCATATACTAGACTTGATAAGGCCGTTGGTTATCATGTTTGAATCGTTTTACACAAGTCATTTGTTGTTCCCTTTATAGCTTTCAGTTAAGTGTGAGCCAAGGCTCCGTGTTGAAGGCCGTACTTTGACCAATGATAGTTTACTTTTAGAAATTGTGACTTGGCTTGAGAGTTGTCTGATTGGCACTCATACCACATCTTCTTATATCTATGTATCATACTTTTGCATCTGGTCTTACTTGTTTATATATTTTATTAAGTGATGAAATAACATTCGTGAATAATTTGGTCCGCTCTCCACGAGAATAGCATCAGTCTAGAATTCAGTACTTTGGTACCGAAATCATAATGAGGACAATTGTTTTATAGTCATTTGCTGGTAAGAGTTTTCATCTAATACAGTACGATTGAATTGTTTATCCTATAGAACAGGAAAGAAAGATACAAGAGGGACTTTCAAACTCAAAGATCGACAATACACTGACAACGCCATGGCTACAAAAGAAAAAGACAGACAAACAAATAATAGTTCACAAGACAAAACATAGAAAACTAAAGACTGAGCAACACGAACTCCACCAAAAACTGGGAGTGTTCTCAGGTGCTCCGGTACGGTAATCAAATCCTGCTCCAAATGTGGTACCCGTCGTGTTGCTCATTTTATTACAAACCTGATAAATAGTGTAATTCAGGTGGTCACTTTCGTGGAAAAAGGAACGGGATTGTAGTTACAACATAAGGAACATATCCGATATCATTTGGAAACGGATATTCCGTAACAGTCACCCAACTTGTAATGTCGTCCGTAAACTTTACGAAGGGATGATTTCAACTTCACAATTTGGAACTCTTGGTTTAATAGCTTTCTTGTGAGCAGCAACCCTCTATCAAGCAAATCATGATAGGAAATACAAACCCGGGATTATCGTATCAATTTGGCAGATAAATACTCAGTATGCAGGCACTGGTGATTGACTGAATTATACATTATTGTTTTTCTGTTCTATAACAAAGCTATTATTATATGTTGTACAATTTAATGTTTTTTAGAAATTTGTTTTGGTGTAACATATCAACCATTGAGACGGGCGCATTTATAAATTTGCCAAATCTTCAAAATTTGTAAGTATTACGCATCTGGTGCAGGAAAAAATTGGTACCGTTTATGTTTTTACTCAATTGTGAGTTAAATATTTTTGGTTTATTTCGTTTACAGGGAAATTATACTCGTACTTTAAAACGAATTTTTGTAGAGAGAATAATGATCAATATTATTTTATTTTGTCTTACAAATGAGTCTTGTTGCAACTGACAAACGCATTAAATATATGGAAAAAAACTTTAAACCAATCGTTTAGTTAAACAACATTACGTTTGAAAAACAAAATAAATACTGGGAAAACTACTGACTGCTTTCCACTAAGCAACCAACGTCTTTTTTTTTTATTGCCGTTAGTACTATACTACCAACACTATACTACTAAAATATCAAACGCTGAAATAGCAATCTCAAGAAAATAGAATCGAGAAAATAACACGTTTAACAAAGACTGATCAGAAAATTTAGCAAAACCACATGGTTCCAACAATAAATGGCCTTTATAAATAACAGAAAACCTTTCACAGATTTCATTGTTTCAGTGAAATATTAACTTCATGTTTTAATGATATGCGCTTTTGAAACTGAAAACATCTTTTTATGTGAGGGCTAACTGCCTTTATACTGTTTTCGTCTATGCGCATTGGATTGTTACAAACAAGATAAGCACACTGATCTTCCGAAATGTTGAGGACTGCTACCTAAGGAAACGGATTACCTCACTTGTATTTAGCAAAACATTTCGGAATCGTGGGTCCTTAATGCTCTTCAATTTCGTACTTTATTTTCAATTTATAACTGCGTTGATTCGAGTGTCACTAAAGAGCCTTTGTTGACGAACCGGGCGTGCCGTACATATTTTAAATTCTGGTATCTATAATGAGTTCTTTCTTAATTTTTACTGAAGCGATTAAATGACAATTTATGGGATTTATCACTCTGTCCCTCTTTTACAAAGTGTTCTGTAGCAGTAAATCTGAAACCATAAGCCGTTTAGACATGAGTAAATTACTTTCGGGACCAGAACTTGGTAATACAATTGACGACCAAAGGTCAACGTCATGTTTTAAATTTGTCCCTCAGAAGTCGTAATTGTAATCGACAAAAGAGTTTTACCCAATATGCTAAACGCAAAATGTTATAATAACTGGATTATTTTGTTTCAAAATGTGACAGTAACATGTATTAGAGTTACTAAATTATATCTTAAGCTATGCAGTTAGCATGTAAATCTAATTCAATATTAACCAACTAACAGACCATCAACGCCCTTTTTACCCCTTTCCGACTCGCGATATATTAGAGAGAGAACAATTCAAGTAAATGCCTCCAAATTTTGTCAAGATGCACATGTGTGTCTGTACTAAGAAACTAAATAAAGGTTTATCAATTTAATATTTAAAGTATGTTATTATTGGCCGTAAATATCAACAAGATCATGTTGCCAATTTTATTCAATGTATTATTGTCCAGAGCTGCAGTTATTTTTCAAAGGGTTTTCAATCATTAATTATAAATAAGAAGATGTGGTATGAGTGCCAATGAGACAAATCTCTATCCAAGTCAAAATGTATAAACAGTTAACAATTATAGATTTAACAAGGTCTTTCAACACAGAGCCTTAAATCACACTGATCAGCAAGTAATAAAAGGCCCAAAGTGACTAGTGTAAAACAATTCAAACGGGGAAATCAACGGTCTAATTTATATAACAAACGTGAAACGAGACACACCTATGAACCCACCAACACCGATAATCACTATACAAAATGCTCCTGACTTAGGACAGGTGTATAAAAATACAGTGGGCTTAAACGTTTAAACATGCTCTAACCTTCACATTAACCTTAACACAGAAGTGTAACATTATAGCATAACAAGACATACAATAAAATATCAATTAATTTTATGTTTTTTACTAGTCATATTAAAGTTAACATTTTTTTTTAAGAAATAGCTTTTCAAAAAATTGCTGTGTTGAACATTTTTAATGATTTTTCACACGCACACCAAACAGCAGAAGCTATTTTCATAATTTTAAAACTACCAACATTTAAAAATGTGCATCCCTGATCTGTTACTTCTATTGTTGTTTTTAAATCAATCTTATTAATTATATTTTGTTCTTTTGAATAAATACATACTGTTCGCTTGTTCGCTGGTAACTTTTACCTCCTTAACTAATTTGTCTGATAATTTTTGAATCAATTCACCATGGACATTTTATTCATTTTGAATAAAATTAGTTCCATATTTTCCTTTACCGTTTGAAACCGGTCAAAACTGAATCAGCACAATCTAAACATTTTAAACCTGTTTGAAACGTTTTAAATCAATTTTCTTCAACATTGTTAAAAGATGCAGCGGCAAATAAGCTCTATTAGTGACCCAATGATCCTTTCGAAATTGTTTCCGGTTTAAACCTTTGTCCGTTGCCAGTTTACGTGCAACGGTTGAAAAACTGGTGAAAGATTCAAAACCCACTACATAATATTTCGGATTGATTTATATTTATATTGCCATTTGTATTTGCATCGAAAAAGTCATAGGTCTAAACTTTGACAGTTGACTTAACATGTACAATTCAGGTATTTAGTTTGTTCAAATACATTGAATACTATGATTATGATCTGCATATAGTAGACTTGATAGCTTACTTAATAGGTATTGATAACAATGTCCATATAGGTTGAAATAGTAAAATATACGAAACGTCCAAAGATGACATATTTCGGTTCACAAATACATACAGTTTGTCAAAGCGAAGTCGTAGTCATACATCAATCATTTGTTTATTTCTTCTAGCAAAAAAACAGTTATTGTCATTAAATTTATCAGATTAAATTTAATCTGATGCACTCTGTCATATATACTTGGGAGGACGTAACGTTTTGCTTATCGCTACAATTAATACATAAACTGCGATAACTTTGGTTCTTTCTTATCATCTGCTCAAACTTATTTTCAATTTTATTTCTATTTTTCCTTTTTATAATTTAATGAGTGGTAAAATTGAAAATATACAAGCGATTAAAGGATACTAAAGAATTGGTAACCTTCATTGATAACAGTACTATACATCAAGGAATATTTTGCCTTACTTTACTTTTGTTTCAGATATTTGGACAACAATAGAATACTTTCTCTACATCAAGCAACATTTAAAGACCTATCAGCACTCACAAGACTGTATGTTTACATTATTACATTATCTTATATCGAAGCAACAATATAAAGTCAATCAGTGACCCAGTAAGTTGCTCAAAGGCAAAGTTGGACTTAAACTTTGATCAATTTGCCTATTATCATTTGGTTCATATTGTCCAGGAAAATGATAGTTGTTATCGAATAGTCCGTTTCTGTATATGTTGGCGTTTGTTTTTTGTAGCAGTTCAGGGTTTCTGTTGTTTGTTTTTTTGGAGGGGGGGGGGGGGGTGTTTGTGTTTTTTTATTTTTCCTCTAATAGTTGATGTTTTTCCTCAGATTTAGTTTGTAACCCGGATTTGTTTTAGGTTGTTGTTTTCTTTTGGCTTAATCGATTCATGACTATATACTACTGTTGCCTTTCTTGGTCATACATCTCTTCAACAGTCTAGGTTCTTATACATTCTTGGCTTTCAAATACCCAACATTGAGTGTTCTTGATGAAAGTAATTTCCGTGAATACTTCGGACAAATAAAATATAAAGTGTTATTTTCATGTCTAACATCTTTCTGGTCGTTCAACTGTTTGACTATTTGATAAATATAATGAACGCTTTCGTAAGACCATGTTGATTGTAAACTTTGATTCAATGAACATATGATGAAGAAGACAAATTGGCTCGATAATAGTTATATGATTATTTGAACTGTAGTTTATCTGTTGTTATTTCATCTTTCATGTTTGTTTGACATATTTCTTCCGGCAAAAAATTCAACAGTTTTGAAATTATATTTGACCCAAATAACTGTCTCATACAAACGTGTATACGTTTTGAAGATAATAGTTTTGACTGTACCCACGGCTATAACTAACGCAGTAAAAAGTTTTGTCCTGTTAAACCGTTTGCTCAAAGCTATGATTAAAATTAAAATAAAGATTAAAATACGGCGGTAACAGGACCATAAAACAATATTGAATGATTTTATGTACATTTCTACCTATTATTTTGTTTTAGCCAATTGGACAACAATAGAATAACTACACTGCAGAAAGGAACATTCCAAGACCTACAAGCACTCCGAGTCCTGTAGGTTTGAATTATTATAATATTTAATCTAGAATAGAGGCGAAAGATACAAAAGGGACATTCAAAGTCATAAGTGAGAAGAAGAAATGAAAAATTGTAACGTCAATCCGTGGCAGATTATGTTTACTATTATAAATTGTTAATATCAAGAGTTCTTTTATTCAATAGTTAGAACATAGGTGACTCAGTTAGTGTTAACTATTTTATTAAACAATAATGATAAGAACACATCCGTTTACGGTTCTGATGTTTAACGTTGATTCAACACAAGTGGTCAAAAAAAGATTGATAATGTTTGAACTACATTTTAAAATCTGATCATTTTCTTATTGGTGTATATTTTACCAACGGACTCTATGTACAATGTCAACATTACGGATGCCACATGTGAAGCAGGATCTGATAACCTTTCCGGAGCACCGGATATCACTCCAGTGTTTGTTCGGGTTCATCTTGCTCAGTATTCAGTTTTCTATGTTGCGTTTTGTATACTGCTGTTGGTCTTTTATTTATTTTTTTTTAGTCATGGCCTTGTCAGTTTATTTCTTAATTTCATCTTTCTTGCATGTGAAGAAAATCATATAATGAAGATAAATTAGCTGACAATAATACCAAATTATTATAAATCAAAGAATAAGAAGGGGATGTACGCCTCCACCAGAGATATAATCACATGGACATTTACAATTATAGATCACTATACGGCCTTCAATGATAAGCAAAGTCCATACCGCATAGTCAATTTGTCAATTATCCACTTGGAGACTAATCATTGTTATTTCTATCAATTGTCACATAGACTATTATTAATCATCGTGATTTCCCGGTGAAATAAAAATATTTACACGATAATTTCACAAGTGAAATAAATCTGATAATTTCCATCTCTGGCGTCATACAACTATTGATGTTGTCAAGACGTTGCCGCTTACATTGCATAAAAAAAATGAGTATGCGTAGAAAAAGACATTATTCCTCAGATTCTACTTTTTTTCTAAGAGGTTTATCATCAATGTAATAAAAATAAATAACTACTCCCAGATTTAGATATGGAAAAACTCGCGACAGAACAACACTAATAAAAAAAAATCATGCTCTACGCCCATTCGTGAATTATAAATGTAATGCTCGGTCACTCCTTGGATATATTACTATATTTGAATTATTTGAATAGTTATTTTATAAATAAATGTATGACAGGAACAACACAATAATGGTTTTAATTCTGTTTGAATTGTTGTTAAATATTGACTATAGATAATTAAAAAAAGGGTGCCTACGCCTTATATTAACGCATACTGTCTGTACATGCAAAGTGTTGTAGTATGAATGTCGTTTGTTGTGTTTTACTTTAGACGTTTTTACTTTATTTTCTGTGAACAGTACATTCACCCATATACTCCAAATATTCATCATAACATTTTGGAAACAATTGCATGTTTATTCCGGAAAACGTACTGTGAGTACAATCAAATCTAGAATCAATTAAGTCATACATATAGAACAGTTATAAACAAGTACCGTTCATTGTTTTCCTTCGGTATAAATCATCTTTCTTGCGCTGATGATTACTGTTGATCTATTGTTCATGTAATGCAACACAATGCAAATAATACTTGGAGGAACTTCTCGGAGAATTTTCTAAAGTTTGTATATTTTTGACACTTTCTGTTTCAAGAAAAATGAAACTCAAATTCTTCAATTTTCTGAAATTACACATTTCAATTCTGTATCATGTCTCATCAATGCCGTAAACTGTTTCCATATGCACATGTTTGTCTGCACTTAGAACAAAATAGAGGTCTTAACATGACCGCATCTGTAAAGGTTATGATGATCGCTGAAAGGTGACATTTTGATTTGGCTGTTTAAACACCAGAAATTCGTCTTGCAATTTTAAAAGTACCAACATTTACAAAACGGGCAACCTTTTTTTTTTCTGGTTCTGTTTATTTTAGAATCCAATTTTATATAGTACAGTATGTTCTTCTAAATCATTATATCCCTTTTTGATGGTTACTTTTACTTCCATAACTAAATGTCTAACATTCTCTGAAGACATTTGAAAATATAAAAAAAAGAAGATGTGGTTTGATTGCCAATGAGACAACTCTCCACAAGAGACCAATTGACACACAAATTACCAACTATATGTCATCGTACGTCCTTCAACAATGAGCAAAGCCCGTACCGGATAAGCAGATATAAAAAGCCGCGACATGACAAATGTTAAACAATTCAAACGAGAACACTAACGGCCTAATGTATGTACAAAGTAATGAACAAAAGTCAAATATGCAACACAGCAAAAAACAACAATCACTCCTGACGTTGGACAGGCACATATATAATGTAGCGGAGTTAAATAGTTTGCGGACGCCCAACTCGCCTTTACCTAAAATATTAGTGTTACAGTACAACATAAGAACAGACTTTTAAAATCAGTTGAAAAGGGTTTAACTCATCAGATGGATACAAATAAAAATACATCTGACAAAAAAACAGAGTGAACGCGGGAGAGTACTTGTACATCTTAGCAACAAAACGACACTTATCTGAGAGTACTCGCAGTTACAGACATCTAGTTCAAAGTCAATAACAACTTATAAAAAAAATCATGTATCTAAGACTAAATTATCAATCAGTACACATCTAACATTCAATTGATTTAGTGTAAATATCTAATAACCAGTCAGAAAAAAGCATGACCTCGTGCAAATTCATGATACAGGTATCGACAAAGTGTAGATTCATGAATGTTTAATTCAAGACACTGTTTAACTCCAAAGAGCAAAAGACACTCAGACAGCTTTGCAATTTCATAATGTGTATGCTCGTGCATGTTCACACTATACGGACTTCATATACAGGAGTGTGCTTCTTACACAGAAACTGCTCCAACAAAGTTATGAGGAGGAAAGATTCAAAATAAAGAATTTTATGGACACCATCACGAATTGGTTGATCCATTAGATGTGTCTGTGTCTAAACTAACTAAGGACATTTTTACCACGTCTTAGATTGTGATTTACCATTTACGTCGTCTGGTCTTTTAAGTACCGAACATGACCTATTCCCGAATATGACTGTTTAGCTGAGTGTGAATTCGCATAGCTAGTGTCAAGGTACTTGTTATCCAACATTCACGTATTTAGTTATGATGTGGTATTTGTAATTCTGATCGGATATTGTTAAATGTCTTATCGTTTGTAGTTGTATTTCTACCTTTTTTATTTTCTATTCGTATGTAAAAGTAAAGATGATTAATCACCTAGTTCATTTCTAAGATTTTAGTTTAAAGCAACTATTTGTACACTATCTATTTGTTTTACAGTTTGATTTAGAAAAAATACCGACATAGCTAGATAATACAAATAATTATCTAATTACTAACACAATTCTATATAAATATTCTTGTAATTGTTATAAAATACATCAAATGACATAGTTACAAACCTGATCTTGAACAGTATCATTTTTTTTTTTTAGAAATTTACCTGTGACGTCACTTTTGTGGCGTTGCTCCAGTCGTGTGAACGACTGTTCGTTGTTCTGTTGTGCTGTTTTATGTGCTGTCCTGTATTGTTTTACGTGTTCGTTTTTATTCTGTGGTTAGCATGTAGAAATATACTATTGTATTGTTTATTTGTGTATTTCTCTGTCTTGAATGTTCTTGCATTCATTTGTACTGTATTCCTGTCATGTATTGGTGTCATTTTAGTGTTATATTTAACATTGCCATAAAAGTGGCCAAAAAACTAGGTTCAACCCACCATTTTTTCTTAAAATGTCCTGTACCAAGTCAGGAAAATGGCAGTTGTTATCTAATAGTTCGTTTCTGTGTGTGTTGCATTGTCGTTTGTTTTTTGTTCACTTTAGTGTTTCTGTTGTTTCGTTGTTTTCCTCTTATAGTTGATGTGTTTCCCCCGGATTTGTGTTTGTCTCAATCGATTTATGACTTTCGAACAGTGGTACACTACTGTTGCGTTTATGTATCAACAGTAAAATTACTCCTTCTTCTCAACCATAGTTTTAACATATTTAAACACTAAAACTATTTCTTTAAACATGTATATTACATTCCCATTTCCAATCTCAATTTTATGATTCACCTACTTTGTATTCTTATATTTGTATTTATTTTTTTTTTTATTTTTATTTATGTATTTATTTATTTTTTGTACGATTGTTTTTAATCTTTCTGTAACTTTGTATTTCATGGTTTTATGAAAAATAAACTATCTATCTATCATATGTATTTAACAATAGTATTCAGTTTGCTTTTAATTCACTAATAATAAAGTCAATATTAATACCAATAAAAACAATATTCAAAGATCTAAATACGTTGTTGAACTGGTAACCTTTTAGAATAATTTTATATAAATGCTTGATAGATTTCCAGGATATTTTCTTCATTTCCGGGTTCGGTAAACATTTTCACCATAAAAATGAGGATGTGCTATCCCTTTTGCAATAGTTTTCTACAGGTACAACCAAAATTACTACTTACAGTTTAGTAAAGGTTTTAAGTAATTTGTGGTCACGAAATCCCTTAAAATAAATAACATACCAGTAATACATAGATAACGTTCATTAAAATCCAAAAAATCACAACAGAGGAGACGGACATAGCGAACGAGGTGTGGTGTATTATACCATGAGATGGTGCAAAAAGAACATCATCATCTAAAAATGGAAAATAAACAATAGGGAACGAAAAATATTTTCTTTTTTTCGAGAATTTTAGGATACAGTTTCACCATGAAAAACTGAAATACATAAATCTAGGAAAGGACAGTTAATACCGTTTATATTTTATTTCTTTTAAGTAAGTTTCCATCGGACAAATTTCGGCAGTATATTTAGAAAATTTATCTTTGAAGATTGTTTCACGAAAAAATATCAATAAAAAAGACCATGAATCATGAATATAAGCTGTTTTTATGTTGCATTTCTGTAAATATCGACAATGCAATTTCCCATAGGAACTCCTATTACGGCTAAAACTATGCATACTGTAAATTGTGAATTTATGCTGAGTCATCATAGTACAGGTCCAGGATTTTCTCAATCTTCTTGAAAATTTATAACACTTCATATTTTATTTAATTTCATTAAAATCTCTGAGATAAACCAGATTTGGTGAAATTCTGTGTGTACTCTTTTTTCACCAACCTTAGAGGTTGCATTTCTATATATATCGACAATCCAATTTCCCATAGGAACTCTTTTTACGGCTCAAACTGTACCACTTTTACTGTGAAGTTTTCAAAAAAAAAATTATATCGTAGAAAGGGAAGTTCATATGCACTACTAATTTTTTCAAAGGTCAAAATATAGGGCTGTGCAGTATATTTTCAACCTTTAAAAAAGTTTCTTGCAGTGACCCAATTATCAAGTACAAGTGTTCTTCTTAGATTCGTGTTTTGGCATCAAAAAGTCAAAGAACAAATCAAAATTAAATACGATGATCTATTCTTGAATTATAACTTGCTGAACGTTACAATCAATAACATACTTTGGAGAGACAATGATATCAAAGGATTGTTCACATTTTTTTCTGCAGATCCCTGAGTGGAAACAATTTGACTTTTGTCAAGAATGACACATTTGAACATAACATCAACTAAGAATTTTTGTAAGTACATATTTTATTTTTTATGATTTATTATGCATTTTCTATATTGTATGATTTATTACTATATTGTTAAATACTTGTTAATTCAGTATAAGGTAAAATAAAATCTCTGTTTTCTTCTCTCGTCTGTAATTCTGATATCAGCATATTCAAAAGAGGAGCAAAAGATACCGGAGGGACAGTCAAACTCATAGATCGAATATAAACTGACAACGCAATGGCTAAAAAAGAAAAAGACTAAAGACAAATAATAATACACAAGACACAACATCGAAAACTAAGAACTAAGCAACACGAATCCCACCAAAAACTGGGGGTGAACTCAGGTGTTCCGGAAGGGTAAGCAGATCCTGCTCTACATGTGGCACCCGTCGTGTTGCTCATGTTATTACAAAACTGGGAAATAGTCTAATTCGGTAGGTCACATTCTTGAAAAGGGAACGGAATTGTAATTCCGACATAAGGAACATATCTGATATCATCTACGAAACGGATATTCCATAACGGTCAACCAACTCGTGATGGATTCCGTAGAATTTACGAAGCGATGATTTCAACTTCACCATTTGGAACTCTTGGTTTAATATCTTACTTGTGAGCATATTGAGCGTTGTTATGGACTTACCAAAACACGCTTAAAATGTATGATGAAACTTGATGATTGAGCTAGCATCCCGATATATTTACTCTTTAAAACTCCGTCCATAAGATACTAAATTTATAAACTTGGGAATGAAATATTGCAAATAAAGACATTAGAAGTATACTGCTGTTCAAAAGTCATAAATCGATTAAGAGAAAAAAAATCTGGGTTACAAACTAGAACTGAGGGAAACACATCAACTATAAGAGGAAAACAACGAAACAACAGAAATACTGGAGTACAACAAAAAAACAAACGACAATGCAACGAGAAAAACATATCATTATAAAATGCATATTACAAGATTGAAAAACTTGTGCAGTTACAGAAAGCTAGAAAAAAAGATCTATGTGTGTCCTTTAACATTGATGTAGTTTTGCCCCTCATGATTGTGTAAACTCTTAATTTGAAGTATTACCGTTACAGATCGATTAGACAGTAAATAACATACTATATTCACCACTTCAAACTTATACAGCAGGTATACGGATCCATAAATTCAATTAAAACAAATGATACCGGACACTAGAAGGGTGGTGTCAAATATTTGCATTTCAAACTAATCTTCCTAGGTTAATAATATATACAAAATAATTAAACAAGTTAGGACATGTCATTCAACTCATTATTGCTTTCTTAAAAACTTCAAGCAAAATCACTTTGTTATTTTAGAATTCCCAAAATGTTTTAAAAAATTATTTAATTTGGTATATATATATATATTATTGTTCATTGAATTCTGTATCAAAATTTAATAACAAAAATACTAAACTCCATGGAAAATCCTTAACGTAAAGTCCCTAAGCAAATGGCAAAATCAAACGCTCAAACACATGAAACTAATGGACAACAACTGTCATATTCCTGAATTGGTACAGGCATTTTCTTATGCAGAAAATGTTGGATTAAACCTTGTTTTATAACTAGATAAACCTCTCACTTGTATGCCAGTCGGATAATTTACTATGTATTGCATTAGAATGTGTCTTCCTGCTATCTGTTTTGTTTTGAATTAGCCATCGAAATATAGTGAGCGGTATAAACAAAAGTATGAGTGCAGTAATTATATAATAGTTATTGAGAAACTGGTAATTATCGTGATATATAGACTGCCCACAGGACGGTTGTATTGACTAAGACAACGATAATGACCGAGCCGTAGGCGAGGTCATTATCGTTGTTGCAGTCAATAACACTGTCCTACGGGCAGTCCATGTATCGCGATAATGACCAGTCCTTCTATAACTACTATGTTTATTTCATTGAGGTACCGTGTTTTTAAAAATCCTCATCAATTCAAATTGTTCAATTATTTTGCAATTTGAATATAAAATACACAGGACAGCTTTTGTAGTATCACCAATGCAATCATTCCTATCTATCAAAACGATCACCGTTTAACCAGTCCTATCATTTATTTTTTTATATCTAGATGTTTTATAATATTTGAACTTAAGCAACAGTTAATTGTTGAAATTTTTATGAATTGTTTTGCAGTTAAACAAAATTTCCAATAACGATGATTATAGGACTTACAATCTCTAAAATAAAAGAAAAAACAAAAACAAATGGATTTTATGTTCCTATCACAAATATTGTACTCAAGGCACTGTGAAATGAGTAAAGATTTAATGACCGACTAACAAGGTGCAGTGAAATATTACCGTGAATCGTAATTGGAATATCAGATACCATTCCAGCGTTAATGTGCTTTTTCTAAATCTCTATTTTTTATTGCTGCCTTTTATTATAACTTTTTGGGAAGGTTGATTTCTTCTTCCTAATAACTGTCATATTGCCTTTACAAAACTACAATTAAACAAGTACACGAATCAGAATTTATGCACATCAAAAACTTTCAATTTCAAACAGGATTCTGGATTTAGTATGTGGTTGTAACGTTGCCTTTTGGTCCTGGTCAAAGTCAAAGAGTGTCGGGCATATCATATATATCATAAAATGTTTGGATCGGAATAATACAGATTTATACAGTCTTCAAGCAAGTGATTTTGATAATTGTGACGGTAAGCTTTTACATTACTTCTTATTGAAAAAACAATGATAATAAAAGGTTGTAGTCTGAATTAATCTGCTTGATTCAATCCTTATTGCTAATTTGGAATATGTTGTGTAATAAACACGTACTAAGTACAGTAGTTATTCATATTTTCAAAAGAGAAGCAAACACTAGCAAAATGAAAAACTAACACAATGGCATGGCAAAAACAAGAAAAACGATCAGAAAGACAAACAACAGTATACAAAATACAACAAAATTAAGACTGAGCAACACAATTCCCAACAAACCCAACAACCAAAACTTTGGGTGATAGCAAATGCTCCTGAAAGGTTAGCTGGTCCTGCTCCCAATTTGTCTCCCGTCGTGTAGCTATTGTAAGGACATTGCATGACGAAAAAACATCGATATGGTCATAAATAAACCATGACATTTACTAGCATACAATTGTACTATTATAAGTATAATGTTATAGAGATGAAGATTACACCTATATATTATTCACGTTGAAACAAACGAAAATCTATGACTAAACTTTTTTAAACATACCTGTAGGTGACTTGCTACTTTATCAAAGTGCTTACACGAAATAAATATGTCATTCAGATGCGGCTATATACAAAGATATGTTATAAATGACACAAAGACGGTGAAGATAGCTCAATTAAACCGTTAGATAAAGAAACTATCTTTTACTGGAATAGTTTTATTTTATGTTCAAAACTAAAACTTTCGACTTACATGTAGAACAGCAATAATTAAAACTTTCATGAAAACTTTTATTTTTATATGCAATCACTTTGCATGCGTTTTAGTTTGTTAGATTTTCATTGGTTTGTAGGTTTCAAAACAGTGTTGCTGCCTGTTGCTTCAAATGGGAAAAAGCATTTATATTGTTGAAATTGTATAAAGTGTAGCGACCATTTTTTTTTTCTTGATATGAATAGATAATTGGGTATCGACTCTTAAAGGCGAAAATATAAATTTTAGCCTGTTGAACTTTCGATAAGTTATCAACATAGCTGAATTTATTTTTTTACTTTTTCCCCTGAAACAATATCTATTAGTAGGAGTGATGCAATTGAGAAATGCCTGACTACCCTCACTGTTCTTCTTAATAATGTTCGAACACATGACTCTTTTCGTATTCTTATCTGTATATTTATTGTAGCCAAGCTACGATTAATGTCTGAACAATTCGATTTTGCTAACTTAATACAAATATCTAGCGAAAAATAACATCGTTTTGTCTTCACTTCAAAAGTTAAATAACCGATCAAAGTGATAATGCTGGGAAAAAAATAACACCCAACAAATGCGAGAGTTACTTTAATTTATAAACGAACTAATGGTGTTGAAAACTACCAATATACAGTAGAAAGATGCAGATTGTTAATAGCGGGTAATACTGCAAGTCTATATCCATAATTAGGAAATAGTGGATACCGATAAGCCCTTGATATTGTTGAAACTTCCAGTCAGATAAACAACTCCAAATTTAAAAATTTGAAATAGCATATCGGGGACCCTACGATGTGTCAACGTTGTCCGTTGAAGATATATGTGCCTGAGGGGGGCAGTGAGTTGATCGTTCCCTTTCACCTACCAACCTCTATTTCGAGTGTAAGATAAATTATTTCTTTCTGTAAATTGATTGCTCCCTTTTCCATCTCTAACCAAACCTAATAGGAGATTCGTGAAATTAGGATTGACCTAGATTTATAAGAACTAGAAACACGCCCGGCCTCTTTGTCTATTCGATTTACACTAGGCCTCACATATGCACCGTTCATTTGTTTTAAATTTGCGATAAACGAGGATATGAAAGATCTAAAAGAAAACTAAATTTAAAGACAGACAATTAAGGCGATGCACTTGATAAAAGTGGGTAATCAAGTAAATATATTTCGGAATTTTTTATATCAGTTCGGTGAAACAGATTGATAACTTGCCTGTATGTTTTGGCATTTTAATGTCGTTCAAAGTTTAACATGGAATCACTTTCGTTTAGGTCGTCTGGTTTGCATGTACTTTTGGCTGAAAAATTTGTTGTCCTGAGGACCGACGAAAGGAACGTGACCCATTATATAAGAATAACTATCATAATTTTGACCCTTATCACGCGTATCTGTTGTAATGTGAAACGACTCTAATTTTTGGCTTATAACAGCCCGATTTGATTTGGGGCGTTGTGCAGTGCTAAATCTCAATTGTTCATCATACGTTCACTGTCCATGAATTATCGAATATATCACATATATTTCAGGAGTTCTTGTTCCAATCAACATTTGTATCATATCCATCATCAATAAACTGCGTTCCCTGTGTGGATATTATACATTGTGCAACATGGTAATATTCAACTCGCATATTGCACCTTTTAAAACTATGTCGTTTTCTTTTGGAATATGTAGTCCAGCTCCTGGAACCTAATCAACAATCTTAGCATCATTAAACCCTGCTTACTTGTTTTTCTTCAATGTCAATGGTATGCATGCCCAATAGGTTCGAAAATACTTTTTGTAAGGTTGTGAAGGTTTTATGAAAATATAATTTTGTCAAGAAGTTCGTTAGATAAAGTTACTTTTCCTTAATAAACCAGTTACCAACTGAGAAGATCTGTCATTTGTTCCTGTCGTTAGTATTTGCGGATCAGCGATCCTCTTTTTCTGAACACTTTTTATAACCTAGGGCAGTGTTGTCATTAAATTAAATTATCTAAAATAGTAATTGTCATACAAATGTTATCATCAATTTCGGAACAATAATGAATTTAAACAGTTTTGCTGCTTTTCATTTTCATATTTTACATAAATGAAGAAATTAGAACTTCATGTTAAAATCTGGATAAGAAAAGTTTTTCTTTTTAAAGACTACTCCTGTCATCCTGACTATTGTTCAAACGGTGGATTTTGTAGTCAAAACAGTTATGGTGATTTAGTTTGTTCATGCATTGGTAACTGGACCGGTGATACATGTACAGGTAAGGAGGAAAATAAAAATGTACGTGTTCATGGCATATATACAGGATACTTTAAAGAAATAATATACCATATTGACATGCCCAACTCGGATGAAAATATCTACTCTGGTACGTCTATACAAAAAGATCCTCAAACTTTGGATATCATTATTTATGTATTAGTTGAAATTGGTTTTGAACTAGCTTTTAAGTAACTCTTTTGTCGTTGATATGTTTTATGTTTGTTTTGTGCTTCGTATCGATATATTGAGTTAGGCCATTTGCATCTGATTCTTACAGTTTGTCATAACTGCCAAATGTGTTTTTCGTAAATTGTATAGTTATCAAATAGATCGTTAAATTTCTCGTCTGCAGTGTTTTCACATTTTGCATTTATTTGCGTTTTATTGCAGACTATACTGCATTATTTTTTTAATTGATTAATGCCGTACAATAAGCTTTATCCACATCAGCTTAACTGTCGTTGAAATTTGTTTCAATCATAAAACATCCCTATATTTGAACATGTATATGTGTTCCAGACCATATGAATATTTGGACCGTACGCGTACGGTCCTGACCGTATGCGTACTTTTTTAAAATACGCATACGGTTGGACTGTACGCGTATGGTCTGCCAGATTATAAAAAATTGGTCAAGTTTATTAGATACAAATGTATATTACAGATCAACATAACTGAAATCTCGAATTAATATAAAAAGTTCAATTATAATTGGAATAAAAACTTAAAGTTTTAACTATCTACAAGTTAATCTCCTGTATATCACGACAGAATACGGTGATACTGGACAGAAATTATAAAAAATCTGTTCAAATTACAATAAGAAAATATTATTAAAAAGTGTCGAAAAAAATGCAAAGATTGAAAAAGGTAGCTTTGTTACTGAGAGAAGAGCATCGGGAGATGTAGGGTTGATGATATTATTGGTAAGGATGCAAGTTTGTACAAACTATTATGTGAATTTGGCATATTGAACTCTTGTTATGTTATGGGCTATATAGAACTTTTGACACGCAAAATTGAAACTGCACATTGGAAAACAGAAGGAATTGCATTGCATGCTGGCACAAAACAAGCAAGCTTGCCTCTTACAAGCAAGAGATGCAAATGCAAAGGAACATGCATGAACAAAATATGTGAATGTAAGAAATCGGATGTTCCTTGTGGCAGCAATTGTCACCTAGGGCGAAAGTGTCAAAATAAGATTTAGACAGACAATTAAATACAATTAAATACAAAATTATTTAGTTTCAATTGATTAAATGTTAACTTATTCCTTTTATTCATCTAATGGTAATGATATTAATTTGTAAAACTCAATAAAACTTTTTTGATAAATGTTTGTCTAAAATAAACCCATATGGTCCAAATACATGTATGGTCCATCTCGTACTAGACCGTACGAGTACGGTCCAAATACTCATATGGTCTGGAACGTATGCAAAATAACTGCAGAGTTTGCATTTGAAGATATAAAAACAGTCTGTTGGGCTGGTGCCACATGTAGAACAGAATCTGATTACCCTTCCTTCATCGGCAGCTAAGAATACCACTGGTTTTGGTAGGGTTCGTGGTGCTCAGTCTTTAGTTTTAATGTTGTGTTGTGTGCACAGTTGTACGTTTTTGTTTTATCTTTTTACTTCTTTTTTGCTATGGCGTTGTCGGTATATTTTTGACTAATGGGTTTGAATATCCTTTCGGGAACTTTTGCTTCTCTTTTAATTATTTGATATTGATAAGGTGGTTTTTCAAGATATTATAACCTACCAAAAAATATCTTCATATAAAATTACCAAGCAAATAAAAACAAAAGTAGTTAATCATTCTGTAGAAGTTTTTATTGTTTGGTGTTTTTGTTTTTACATGTATTAATATAGTTTTCTTCATCTTATGTTAAATGATCCGATTTTATAGACACTTTGCTTAAAGAGGACGTAGGCCGAATATATCTAAAAATTATTTAGTTGCGGAGCCTGAAAACCAAATCTACTAAATCTTAATAGTCTTTTAATAATGATAGTAAGGAAATGTATACTCCATTGCGGTACATTGTATAAATAAAAGTTTCTTATATGGATTTTACATGTCGGCACGACAAAATGCTGAACTTTCGGGTTTGCTTTATAAATACACTAAATATTTTTTTAGACTAATGTATTCACTAGAAGTATCCACACTTGCAAATTTACAATAATTTGTTACATATTTTCGTTATTAGTATAATGTATCGAAAATTAAACTTTCAAGAGATATTGGGACAGTCAGTGATAAATTATATATTTATGTGCAATTAAATTGATTTATTATGGATACTTATATAGTATATTTATAAGCATCCTACATGTGGTTTACAATACCTTAACTTTGAATGCTACTTTATGATGAATGAACAGTGAGGTCACTATGATTAACCATAAAAGATTTAAGTACATTGAAGATAAAAAAAAATGCATTGCATATTGTAGAATTACTTTAATTACTATCATTATATTAGTAATGTGTTTTATTTTGTTTATGTTTTGAGCATTCTGGGACAAAACATTTTTTTGCACGACTTGAAAAGTAAAAAAATAATTATAAAGGGAACTAATGGATTTCTCGTATAGTATTATCTGAATTCGGTTGGATTTTTTGTTGTTTTTTTTTTGTTTCAAGTTCTCATTAGATTGTTTTCTTTTCATTAAGTAGTTTAATCTTATACATTGTGCTTTGCGTGAACATTGATTTTTACTAACATACTAGCATTGTTATAAGTCTAAATCTAAAAATAACTTCTTCTGCCTAACTAATAATAGTGTTATATCTTTATATAATTGTATAAATATAATTTTTGAAAAATACTTTTTTTGGAATTAATCAACACATTTTGATTTTCTGTATATTTATGCAATTTATATGTTAAATTTCACTTTATTACACGTGACTATTTTAGTCAAGTAATTTTTAATCAGCTCATCTTCAGTTAATCAAGTCATATTATAAAACAAGTTTGTGTCTTCAGTATCTATTTTGACATCTTGTATGATACTTTTAATGTAACCTAAAATAACACTTTACTTATTTTCCAGGTATCAATCATATTAATATCATTATGAATATTCGTTAAATATCTACATTGTTGACATTTAAAATATTCTCAAAAGGTTAAAAAAAAGAACGAGAAGAGGCACAGGAGTCTATCTAAAATCTAATGCGAAAAAAGGTAACAAAAGAAAAAAGATGAACAAAAAACAACACTACACAGAGATTAAATAATACGTAATTCGTAAAACCAGGTAAAAACCTGAGTTGCTCAGACACATGCCATAAATGTGGTGACTAGTCAAACTGAAGTGTATTGTAACGCGAACAATCTTTGCTTAGAGTGTTCATTTTTTCTAGATTACTGCATTTTTATATGTGCCGAGTAAACAGTTCCTTCTGCATTACATTCATAAGTGGCACAATCTGTGACGCTAATTCCAAGTTAAAATTGCAGATGAGTCGAATTCAAAAATTATCTCACAATGGAGAAAACGAGGACGACCATGTATATATACTTATGTAGCAAATATATGACATAACGTTCAATTTTATTAACCAATATTATTGATTTTTATTCATTTCGTACATGACTGTGAATAGCTCATTTGCCATTGTTCGTTTCACATGTTAATTTGTATAACTTATTATAATCTGGTTAATTTTGCATAGTTTTAGTTGACAATCCACTGATTTCACATTTTTATCATTTCAGCCATAGAAGAAATTCGTATTTGATGGGTCGTTTCGATGTGAAAAATTGAAAGCAATTCTTAATTTACCAGGCTACGTTTTGAAGTGTCCCTTTACCTTTTAGCATAACACATGATTTTTAAAGTTCGCAACGTTACTTGAAAACATCACCAACGGCAATAACAAATTTGTTTAAATGTATTTCAAAACATATATTTGAAATTATATTACACTATCAGCAAGATAGAATCGATATCAGTGTGTGTGGTTAGTAGGATTTATTAATTAAAACTTGAAAGTCATGGTCGCAATAACTATTAATAGTATAATCGCTTTATTTAGTTAAGCCCCATACCAGCAGGTTAATTGATATTTCCTGCAGTATGACATGATATATAATTATCCCCATGTCTTCAACAGGTAACCGCATGAGTGTTGCTGTCTTCGGGTACAATTGGTGGGAGCTAAACAAGGTGCCAATTTTACACACAGTGTCATTACTTAGTGTATTCTTTTTAACGTAATTTGATTCCTATACCCATACACCATACATTGCGCATAATATGGAGTGTAAAAGATGGCACTGATTAATGTACCCATCATTTTTAGCTTTGTAATGTTCACTTTCTTTTTTTTATACTTCAAATTCTTATTGGTAATCAATATCGAAAGATGCCTTCATATGTCATGACTATTTTCTGCAATTAACAATAATTAAGGGTATAAAACTACGTTAAATGGAATTGATTTCCAAATTAAAAGTATCTATCATGTTTGTCTTCAGACTTATGATTGTGAAATGAACTTTTCCAGTTTGGAGCGCTACTGTTTTTTAGTTTTTTTCAGATAGGAAATGCAGTATGTTGGAATGAGGAGCTGTTTCCTCTGGTGAGAGATTCTAACAATAAAATGAAAGATGATAAGACTGTTATGTCTGTTTTGTTCGTTGCGGACATTGAAATGGTACCACTCCATTATCTCCTTTAAATCATGATATTGCCAGTACATATGTTAATGCACCTCAATCAATAGTTTACCTGTAGCTTTAGATTGTTAAATTATATTGTTTGTGACGTTATCAATTGATTTTTTATTCTTTTAAATACATTGAAATTTGGATTAAAAAAAAATAAGGTTAAATATTCACCAATATTAATATTGTACAGCTGACTTTGCTTTTATTTTCCCTAATAGAAAACCTAAACTTGGAATAGAGAATGGAAACAAGGAATATGTCAAGGAGACAACAACAGGACCAAAGAGCCCCTTTAAAAAACAATCCAAAATCATCAATGGGTCTTCAACATAGCAAGAAAACTCCGCATCAAGATGCGGGCTAAAGGTTGTCCCTTAACCAATAATGGCTACTATATCAGCGAAATAGATGGTATGTTTTGCAACAGACATATATATAGTAATGTCCTTGAATTTGCAATGATCAAAATACAGATCATGTACCAACGCGTTTGCTTACAGGGATCTGAATACACATCGTTATACTTTTTAACACAATATAGGTATCTGTTATCCTGAAATGTCTTGTTTCCTTGCAAACTAAAGGCGGGTTTTCGTTCAACAGAAAATGCATCTATCGAGGGAAGGGCTTTTGTTATACGTTAAAAATTGTCTGTAAGTCAGAAATTTGTGATAAGGTGCAAGAAATCTTTATGCAAAAGGCAATTAACTGGTTTTTTTTTCTTTTTCAACGAGGACTACAATATGTATGACGTTAGAACCGACAAATAAAAAAATGTTGACCTTTGATATAACCTATGTTATCCTTCCCCGAAAACCAAATATATATGCGGTTACGTAATCAGTTAGAAATAATCCTTGAGTAAAAACCAACGATTTTAAAAACAACACTTGATTTGAAAACATCTATGATTGCAATTTTATTTTGGAATCAATTTCTTTGCACTTTGAGACTTCTATCTGTGCTACTTGTCGAATGTGTCCTACAGTACTTGCAACCTTAGGTGTTACTGTTTGACGTGAACTTGACTGATCGGTGAATGATCGATGACGGATGTTTGACTGATCGATGACTGATCGGTGATCGATGACCCATAGAATCCGACAGATCCGTCAAATAAGCTATGTGAGAGTTACCGTGACAACGGTCAGCGATCGATCAGTTACTTAATTGTATGCACGGATCGGACGGATACGTATATAATTACATTTTTTATGTAAAACGAACTCCATATTATTTACATTCGATAAACGCAGACCTCTACAAAGACACCTTTACTCCTTAATTTGGAATCAACTTGGTTGCAATAACGCATAAAAAAAATATAAATTACTTTTCACGCATCATATGTATTACTTCATATTCTCTTATTTTAATTTCTGCCAAATAAATTACATAAGTGCAAAATAATGTCATGCTCAGAATGTTTCTGTTCCACTAAAAAAGCGATAAAATGTTATCATTAAAAATAAGTACTCTATTTAGCAATTATGCATTTTAATGTCACTAGATGATGAAAATAAAAATAATATAACAATTAAGATACTTAAAGCCTTGTTTGGGTTGATTATGAGTGTTGTTTTGACTATTGTTTTAAAATACTGTAAATATTTCTTCTTTTTATAAAAAATAATGCAATGTTATTTGTTATTACTGTAGTTATTCTAAAGGCAATCAAGATAAGTTTTTATATAGAATTTAAATATAATAAGGATTAAAATACTTAAACTTTTGTCTATGTTGAATAAGAATGCAATAATTTCTTTATTTTGAAAGCAATAATGAATAACCATAAAATATCAGTATTTTTTGTTAATTAGGATTGATTGTTTTTCATTAAATGTGTTGAATGTTAAAAAAAAGATACTAAAATGTTGTTCGCATTAATTAAAATTACCGTTTTCTCTTCTTTTGATACAAAATAATGCAATCTTATTTGTAACTAGTTATTTCAAAGGCCTCATGATGACATTTTTTTATAAGAATTTTGATAATGTAAGGAAAAAAATACATAAACTTTTGTTTGTGTTGAATATAAATGGAAACATTTCTTTATTTGGATAGAAATTATGAACCGCTATTTGATTTCAGTACTTTTTGTACATGAGGATTGGTTGTTTTTCATAAGATATGCTGAATTTCATGGAAAAGATACTAAATATTTGTACGCGTTACTTAAAAATGCAAATATTTCTTCTTCTATATCAGAAATAATGCAATGTCAATTGCAATCAGTCAGACTTTAGATAAGTAATTTTGTATGAAGTGTGAATAACTTAAGGATAAATATTCATAAACTTTTGTTTTTGTTGAATGAGAATCATTCATTTCTTCATTTGAATAGAAATTATTGACCGCCATTGGATTTTTGTACTTTTTATAGTTTAGGATTGGTAATTTATTTTTATAACATTAAAAGAATATCAGAGAAAATATACTAAAATGTTGTTTGCATTGTTAAAACTAACCAATTATTCTTCTTTAGATAAAAAAGAATGCGATGTTTTTGTAACTAGTTGTTTCAAAGGCCTCAAGATTAGATTTTTTGATGAGAATTTTGATAATGTAAGGAGAAAAGATACTTAAATTTTTGTTTGTGTTGAATATAAATGCAATAGTTTCTTTATTTTGATAGAAATTATGAACCACATTTGATTTTAGTAATTTTTGTACATCAGGATTGGTTGTTTTTCATAAAATTAAAAGAATATCAGAGAAAATATACTAAAATGTTGTTCGCATTGTCAAAACTAACCAATTATTCTTCTTTTGATAAAAAAGAATGCAATGTTTTTTGTAACTACTTGTTTTAAAGGCATCAGATTAGACTTTTTAATGAGAATTTTGATAATGTAAGCAGAAAAAATACTTAAACTTTTATTTGTGTGGAATACGAATGCCATTATTACTTTATTTTGATAGAAATTATGAACCGCTATTTGATTTCAGTAATTTTTGTACACAAGGATTGGTTGTTTTTCATAAATTATACTCAATATCAGGGAAAAGATACTTAATTTTTGTACGCGTTGCTTAAAAATGCAAATATTTCTTCTTCTATAGCAGAAATAATGCAATGTCAATTGTAATCAGTCATTATAAATAACTTTAGATAAGTAGTTTTGTATAAAATGTTAATAATTGATGAATAAATATGCATAAACTTATTTTTTTTGTTGAATAAGCATGCAATCATTCTTTATTTTAATGGAATTTATTGATCGCCATTGGATTTTTGTACTTGTTATAGTTGAGAATTGGTTGCTTTTCATAAAATTAAAAGAATATCAGAGAAAATATACTAAAATGTTGTTCGTATTGTTTAAAATTACCAATATTTCTTCTTTTGATAAAAAGAATAACTCAAAAATTTTTGTAACTAGTTGTTTCAAAGGCCTCAAAATAAGATTTTTTAATGAGAATTTTGATAATGTAAGGAGAAAAATACTTAAACTTTTGTTTGTGTTAAATATTAATGCAATAATTTCTTAATTTTGATAGAAATTTTGAACCGCCATTTGATTTTAGTACTTTTTGTACATCAGGATTCGTTGTTTTGCAATAAATGCCTTTAGATAAGTATGTATAGAATGTGAATAGTTGAAGAATAAATATGCATAAAAATTTGTTTTTGTTGAATAAGAATGCAATCATTTCTTCATTTTAATGGAAATTATTGTCTGCTATTGGATTTTTAGACTTTTTATAGTTTAGGATTGGTAGTTTTTTATATAAAATTTAAAGAATATCAGAGAAAATATACTAAAATGTTGTTCGCATTGTTAAAACTTACCGATTTTTCTTCTTTTGATAAAAAAAAAAATGCAATGTTTTTTGTAACTATTTTTTTCAAAGGCCTCAAGATAAGATTTTTTAATGAGAATTTTGATATTGTAAGGAGAAAAAATACTGAAACTTTTGTTTGTGTTGAATACGAATGCAATAATTTCTTTATTTTGATAGAAATTATGAACCGCCATTTAATTTTAGTACTTTTGTACATCAGGATTCGTTGTTTTTCATAAGATATTCTGAATTTCAGGGAAAAGATACTAAATTTTTGTACGTGTTGGTTAATAATGCAAATTTTTCTTCTTTGATATCAGAAATAATGCAACGTCAATTGCAATCAGTCATTAAAAATGCCTTAAGCTAAGTATGTTTATATAGAATGTGAATAGTGGATGGATAAATATGCATAAACTTTTGTTTTTGTTGAATAAGAATGCAATCATTTCTTCATTTTAATGGAAATTATTGATTGCTTTTGGATTTTTAGACTTCTTACAGTTTAGGATTGGTAGTTTTTTCATAAAATTAAAAGAATATCAGAGAAAATATACTAAAATGTTGTTCGCATTGTTAAAACTAACCAATTTTTCTTCTTTTGATAAATAAATAATGCAATGTTTTTTGTAACTATTTTTTTTAAAGGCCCCAAGATAAGATTTTTTTATGAAAATTTTAATAATATAAGGAAAAAATACTTAAACATTTGTTTGTGCTGAATACGAATGCAATAATTTCTTTATTTTGATAGAAATTATGAACCGCCATTTAATTTCAGTAATTTTTTTGTACAATCAGGATTGGTTGTTTTTCAAAAATTATACTGAATTTAAGAGAAAATTTACATAATTTTTTGTACGCGTTGCTTAAAAATGCAAATATTTCTTCTTCTATATCAGAAATAATGCAATGTCAATTGCAATCAGTCATTATGAATGACTTTAGATAAGTAATTTTGTATGAAGTGTGAATAATTTAAGGATGAATATTCATAAACTTTTGTTTCTGTTGAATCAGAATGCAATCATTTCTTCATTTTAATGGAAGTTATTGACCACCATTGGATATTTTTTACTTTTTTTGCATCATAATGGGTTGTTTTTCACAAAATTAAATAAATATCGGGGGGAAGATACTAATTGTCATTCACATTGTTTAAACATTAAACAATTACCAATATTTCTTCTTTTTA